CACAAAGCCTCATTGACAGACAACGAGACAGCGTGAACATTTCTTTTCTCCACCACCATCACTTATACTCAGGAGGGATTTGCTGCACTCTGCAGTGCACTTGTGTGTTATTTTAACCAATGCACGACCTCAGGACTATGCCATTTAAAATAGAGAAAGAAAATGTAGTAAATTCATGTTGAAAACTTACAGCAGCAGAGGCACAAATCCAAAATGAGCGAACAGGGTTGTTTTCACACTCTGACCATCTGGGACACCCAGTAGTGAAGGTATCTATGACAACAACATACATCTTTTCTTGGGTTAACTCCTCAAAATAAAACACAACAAAGGAAAGAAATCTCACAACATTACATAACGACACAGGACAGAAAAGAAAAAGCTAGGGCACATTTATGTTAGCTGTCCACCCTCAGCTGCTTAGCCAGAGTGTTGACTCCAAATCTTCTCTGAGTAGCTCAAATGTAAATCACTTCTATAGTGTGTTTGGATCAATTACTAAAGAATAAAACCTGAACATGCTGGTTTATTCAAAGCAATTTTTGCGTAATCAATTTCCCAAAACTAGGAAGAAAGTGCAACCTTTCACACCTCATAGGGAACACACCCCTGATGACTAAGTTTATGGAGACAACGTGTTTTAACAGACACATAATTTCTATTTCGAAGATAAACTTATTTAAAAAATTTTTTTTGATAAATGATGCTTGTCTACATAGGATGTGTTTGCCGAATTTGCACTGAAACCAAAAGTAAAAAAAAAATCTTTATTTGGGTGTAACAACCTTGAATTTATTATTACTATTAACCGACTCATTTATTATTAAATACATCATTGTGAGGTGGCCGTGCATCTTACAACAGTTTCTGTGCCATTTCTGGTGAGCTGAGCTTAAACTATTAGGAAAAGTTTATTTGGGGAAAAAGTGCTATTAATCAACCTTAATATGTTTGTTCTACTGTGGTTTTAATGAGTCTTTTCAAAAAGAGGAAGCTAAAAAGATGCTCTGCTGACATAGAAAGTCTTGTAGAATTCTACGTTTCTGTTTTCTGTAGCTTGATACTGTTTAACGTTACAAGGTTTCTTGATCATTCTCAAGCGATAGCGTTTGTGTAAGCGGCGATCTTCTCAGAACAAGTGAGGGCATGAACACCACAGTTTATCTGATCTGTGTGTGCGTGTAGTCTGCATGTGGCAAGTTTACGAAATTCTCCTTAAATGTCAGGGCTCAAAAACCTTGACTTGACCTGACTTGCTGTTGGTATGTAAATTTAACAACAGGCCACACAAATAACAAATCATGTCTGGCATGACAAATTACATATATTTTTAGATTCTAGCATGATTTATATGAACTTCTGCTGGTGCTCTTTTGCTGGTGTGTAGTTTGTTGCTGCTTTGGGAGTGTTATAACACTCCCAAAGCAGTAGATAAGATAGTAGATAGTAGATAGTAGATACCCTTGCTGCCTTCTTTTCCACACCAGGTCAGACCATCGAGGACAGATCCCAACAGAGTGTCCTCCAAAGTGACAAAACAATCCTTTCTCTTCTCAGTGAAACCATGGACCACATCCTTTGTTTTGCTCCAGAACATCATCTAACCCACAAACACTGCATTGTTAGACAGATCATGAATGATTATGGCAGATGGGATGATTGAGATGGTGTAATCATTGATTATTACTTTGTTGCACTGAGGTTTGAAGGGGGCTGCAGCAATCAGGGGATCATAAGCTTCCACTAGAACTTTACATGGATCCTTGTCCACATAGGCCTGCTGAAAGGTACCCCACAGCTTTTTACAGTCATATCTGGAAAACAAATAATGTTTGCTGATGTTTAGGTGTATTTTGATTTAAAGAAAGGCTAAGTATGTTAAATAGTGCAACGCATTTGATATTTGAAAAAAGCACTAACGAAAAAAACTGGCGTCAACAAAACCAGATGATTAAAGATATTACTGAAAGAAGTTCATGGCAGGGTAACTGCCATGGGGTTAGACCGTGGACGCTGAATGTGCACCTGCTGATATCATATTGGAATCGAATTGGAATTGGAATATCATCAAAAAAGGAAACAGGCAAAAACACCTGACGGATAACCTGCAGTTCACATCTCATTTACTCAAGACACATTATCATTATGTCTATGTATTGTATGTATTGTATGTGCAGTGGTATACATTACTATTAGATATTAACATCGCAAGGGCGTAGATTTGGCATGGACAGAAGGGACATGTCCCCACCAATATCCAGCGATTATTGAATTGTCCCCACCAATAATTTGATCTCTGCGAGTAAAGAAATCAAACCCAATAGAAAGAAAAAACGATCTGTCAGAGTCTCCTTCACCCAGCGGTGCAGAAAGAGTTGCATTACGTTCTCTATTGGAGTCCTACGGCATGTGACAAATATGGCCAATGTGATTGGCTGTGCCTTTCAGGGAGCTCTGTTTAGTTTTAGCACAACGTGTTTTGGAAACTAACTGCACAACAGGCAGCACTATTAGTTCTCTCAGTCTCAGAGCAGCATTTCTAATTTTGATTGAAACTGTCAGAGAAAACGGCAGCTTTGAGCAT